CCACCTTCTCAGGGGTAAGAGGGGAGACCCTGAACAAAGTTTTCTCCCCTCTGACTCAATACTCAGCACTTTTCCATCTGGCCCGAGGTATAATATTATAACTATTATAGATAATAAAATATACAGTAGAATAGAAGCATAACGATATGGAAAGTGGGAAAGCCTATATGACCAAATCGCACTGTTATATATTGTTCTATAATACAATATATACCATACGTTACTTACCTAATATAATTTATTAGGTATAATATTACATACATGATTATAACAATATTATAGCTATTGTATACAATTTAATAATATAGCATAGACTATATTGTATCTATATTACAAGGTGGGGAAAATCCTATGTTTCATACAAATTGCACTATGATATTTGCAAGCACATATCCTATCGTACATTATATATAACATGTGGCATATATAATGCTATATATGCCACATGTTTTAGATAATATATAATACAACACATGCACATCTATAAGCAAGGTAAGACAATAGCTCTACTGTCTACACCGTATATAACATGTATTATACAATATATACCATATGATATACAGTATTCTGATATACGTATATTACAGAACAGTAGACTGTGGAATGCTGTCGCTGGACTGACCTTAAGAAATCATCCTGTGGGCTTCTCTGGTGGCACAGTGGTCGAGAGTCCGCCTGCCGACGCATGGGACGTGGGTTCGTGCCCCGGTCCGGGAAGATCCCACATGCCGTGGAGCGGCTGGGTCCGTGAGCCATGGCCGCTGAGCCTGTGCTCCGCAACGGGAGAGGCCACAACAGTGAAAGGCCTGTGTACTGCAAAAAAAAAAAAAAAGAAATCATCCTGCTGTTCAGACACACAAAAGAATGAAATAATGCCATTTGCAGCACCGTGGATGGACCTAGAGATGATCATACTGAGTGAACTCAGTCAGACAGAGAAAGACAGATACCATACGATGTCGCTTATATGTGGAATCTAAAATACGACACAAATGAACTTATTTCCAAACAGAAACAGACTCACAGACATAGAAAACAGACATGGTTAACAAACGGGACAAGGGGGGAGGAATAAATTAGGAGTTTGGGATTAACATATACACACGACTATATATAAAATATATAAACAGCGAGGCCCTACTGTATAGCATAGGGAAGTCTGTTCACTATTTGATAATAACCTATACGGGAAAAAAATCTGAAAAAAATATATATAACTGAATCACTTTGCTGTACACCTGAAACTATCACAACATTGCAAATCAAATATACTTTAATTTTAGAAAAGGGAAAAAACAGAAATCACCTTCTTGCCCTCCTTGCCCCCTCTCCTTGCTGAGTCTCTGTCGGTGGGGGTCCCCTGAGACAGACGCGTCTTGGGGCCCCACTGTCGAAGCCAGGGTGATCAGGGCTCGGGCAACAAAGCCTCGTATTCCTGGGGGCTCCTGGGGGCAGCCCCCAAGCTACCAGGAGAGACTGTGAGGTGAGGAATGCCCACCTGGCTCCGGGGTTCCTCTTTGCACTTCACCACCCCCTGGGGAGAGTTTAGGATTCCTCTGCCCAGCTCCCACCTCAGATCAAATAAATCTGCGTGTCTGGGGCTGAGCCCTGGCATCAGTCATTTTTAAAGCTCCCAGGGGTCTGTGTGTTGAGATTCAGCCAGAGTTGAGAGTCACTGCCCCGGAGTGACAGGCCAGGGTCACACTCGGCCAGTTCACAGCAGTGGTTGAGCACATACTCCTAAGATAGCAGAACTAAAGAACGCCAGCCCAGGATCATTCTTGCGTCTTCCATGCAAGGAAACCTAAGACTCAGAACCCGAAACGGGTAAATGCAAAGCGGAAGCAGCTTTGTCTGTAAAACTGGGTAGTTGCAGAAGACAGAACAAAAGGCATTTATATACCTAAACCCTAGGCAATCTGTGGATCGTGAGTGGCCAGCTCCCGGAGGGACACTGGAAACGCTGAGATGAAAGCAAGGGCCGGAATCCCTGGGAAGGACCTGGATCCACTGTGGGAAGAACAATCACACGTCCACGTAGCGTGAACCTGGACCATTTCTTCCGAGATTTGCTCAGAAGATCGAGAAATGGTGACTCTCGGGGCTTCCCAGGTGGCGCAGTGGTTGGGAGTCCGCCTGCTGATGCAGGGGACACGGGTTCGTGCCCCGGTCCGGGAAGATCCCACGTGCCGCGGAGCGGCTGGGCCCGTGAGCCATGGCCGCTGAGCCTGCGCGTCCGGAGCCTGTGCTCCGCAACGGGAGAGGCCACAACAGTGAGAGGCCCGCATACCGCAAAAAAAAAAAAGAAGAAGAAAAAAAAAGAAGAAGAAGAAAAAAGAAATTTCTCTAATGAGAAATCTCTCATTAGATTTACCCCTGGCGTTAGGCAGTACCCAGCCACAGGCACCTCCCACCTCCCTTCCCTAACCAGTCAACGGCAACACCACTGTAATCTCCAGATACAGCCAGCCTGTCCCGGTGAATAAACATGCGTCTGCTGGATGTGAAGGCAGCTTAGCATCTAATCATCAGATCCCCCAGCGCCAGGGCCAGTGCCTTGCGTCCTGTTACGGATAGCTTCATCCAGGGTTGAAATACGTTACAGGCAGAGAGGATGATGCCGGAGCAGCCTCAGGGCCTGCTGAGTCAGGGAGTGGAGACTTCTTTGCAAGTTTTTATTTTATATTGGAACAGAGCGGATGTACGATGTTGTGTTAGTTTCAGGTGTACAGCAAAGCGATTCAGTTATGCAGATACACGTATCTCTTCATTTTCAAGTTCTTTTCCCGTTTAGGTTGTTGTATAATACTGAGCAGAGTTCCCTGTGCTCTACAGTAGGTCCTTGTTGGCTATCCATTTTAAATATGGCAGTGTGTACATGTCACTCCCAGTTTTATTAGGGAGTGGGGACTTTATAAAAAGCTCAAAGCACGTGGCTGGGGTGTGTGACGGTCCCAGAAAGAATGGAACCCGAACGGGAGGAGAGAGAGGATGGCCCATGGCAAGGGCTCCCTGGGCAGAGGTGGGGCAGGGCCACAACAGAGCACCACACACGGGGTGGCTTAAACCACAGACACTTACTGTCTCTAGTCCTGGAGGCTGGAGTCTGAGATCCAGGTGTGGGCAGGGCTGGTCCCTCCTGAGGCCTCTCCCCTGGGCGTGTAGATGGCCGTCTCTTCCCTGTGTCCTCACGGGGTCATCCCTCTATGTCTGTGTCCTGATCTCCTCCTCTCACAAGGACACCAGTGCTATGGGATCAGGACCCACCCTAGTGACCTCATTGTACCTTCGTCCCCTCTTTAAAGACCCCATCTCCAAATACAGTCACATCCAGAGGTCCTGGGGGTCAGGGCGTCAACATATACGTTTGGGGGACACACAATTCAGTCCATAACAGGAGGTAACCAGAGAATCAGTTTATACAAACAGCAACCCACTGCTGTGAAAACCAAGCCACGTCAATGGCCCCTGAGCAGTTCTCCCTGCCGAGTCGTCAGAATTCCCACCCCCTCATCTCCCTCCCCAGGACGGGACACAGGTCCATTCCTCAACCAAGTACTAGCAGCAAATGCAATCACCATTATCACAGGACAAAACAAAGTCCACCACTTCCCAGGGGCTGGGGAGGCGGCCAGCCTCCCCACTACAACTACCAGGGGTCCAGGGGCAAAGAGAAAGATGGGTAGGTGATTGGCTGGACCCTACCTGTGCCAGCCCCACAGTAATTTTTACTAAAAGGAGATGAAATGAGGGCCCTTCCCATCTATCCCAGAGAATGCAAGGGAAAAAAAAAAAAAAAAAAGAGCCACCCCCTCGTAGACATTTTAGAGGCTGACAGTCACTTCAAGTTTCTAAACCTAAATTTCAGAGCAGAACGAGAGTGTGGAAGAATCAGCCTGTCACCGATGTCCTTACTGCTCTACGCTAATCTTTCTTCAGTCCCCAGGGACCCCTTTACAGACCCCACAGGGGCCTCTCAAGCCGTCCGCACCTTCACCCCAGCACCCCCGAGACCTCTCCACTGTCCCTTCTCGGAGAACAGGTGTTCGTCCAAACAAAACACACATTTCAATCAAGCACTTAGTAGGTGGCGTGTCTTTTCCAGAAAGGCACACCGCCTGCATCCACGTGGCTTCTGTTCTGGCTGAAGGATCAACAAGGAATCATACTCGCCACAAACTATAATCACACATTTATTTATTATTTTTTATTGACGCATAGTTGATTTACACTCTGTTACTTTCAGGCGTACAACACAGTGATTCAATCTTTTTATAGATTATACTCTGTTTAAAGTTATTACCCCTGTGCTGTGCAATACATCTTTGTAGCTTATTTATTTTATACCTAGTAGTTTGTACCTTACTCCCCTCCCCCTAGCTTGCCCCTCCCCCTTCCCTCTCCCCACTGCCAACGACTAGTTTGTTCTCTGTATCTGTGGGTCTGCTTCTTTTTTGTTATATTCACTAGTCTGTTTTATTTTTTAGATTCCTTTTTTTAAACTAATTTTTATTGGAGTATAGTTGCTTTACAATGTTGTGTTAGTTTCTACCGTACAGCAAAGTGAACCAGCTACATGTATACATATATCCCCTCTTTTTTGGATTTCCTTCCCATTTAGGTCACCATAGAGCAGTGAATAGAGTTCCCTGTGCTCTACAGTAGGTTCTCATTAGTTAGCTATTTTATGCATAGTAGTGTATATATGTCAATCCCAGTCGCCCAGTTCATCCCACCCCCCACCCTTGGTATCCATACGTCCGTTCTCTGCGTATGCGTCTCTATTTCTGCTCTGCAAAGAAGTTCATGTGTATCATTTTTTTAGATTCCACATATAAGTGATACCATATGGTATTTGTCTTTCTCTGTCTGGCTTACTTCACTTAGTATGATAATCTCTAGGTCCATCCATGTTGCTGCAAATGGCATTATTTCCTTCTTTTTATGGCTGAGGAGTATTCGATTGCATACATGTGCCACATCTTCTTTATCCTTTCCTCTCCTGATGGACACTTAGGTTGCTTCCATATCTTGGCTATTGTAAATAGCGCTGCTATGAACGTTGGGGTGCGTGTATCTTTTCAGATTAGGGTTTTCACTTTCTTTGAATAGATACCCACGAGTGGAACTGCTGGATCATGTGGCAGTTCTACTGCAAATCATAGTAATAAATAGTTAGCACTGAATGAGATCTACCAAGTATCTCACAAGGATTTACTCATTTCATCCTCTTGACAACGTTACATGGTAGGTGTGGTGAACACTCCCACTTTCTATGGGGAAACTGAGGCACAGAGAGGTTAAGTGACTTTCCCAAGGTCACTCAGCTCAGAGTGACCCAACTTTCCCCAGCACCTGAGGTTCAAAACTTTGGAAGCATGACTGATTGCTCTTTCTACAGTTCTTCCTACATCCCCAGAGTTGAGAGGATGGACTGAAGACTGTCCAATCTCCTCGTCCTAAAATTATCCAAACTACCCATCAGTACAGAGGGAAAAACAAACATGTCTCCAGGAAAACAAAAGGGCGTGTGTCCTAGCTGTGCCCCGATCCCCACGGTACCCACAGTCCTCCTGGGATGGGTGGCCGCATCTCATTCATTTGTCTGCATCTCCCACTGCAGGTGGGCACCTGAGCTGAAGGACGGCAATCCACATCTCACCAGTGGCCCCTGGCATCTCCCCATGTGGCACGCAGAGCAGGATGGATTCTCTCCCTTGCAAATGCTGGACTGTCTTAGTCTGCGTGAGCTGCTGTAACAAAATACTGTAAACTAGGGGCTTATCAACAACACATGTATTTCCCACAGTTCTGGAGGCTGGAGATCCCAGCGAGGGCTGATTGAGCGTTTCGTGAGGCTGCTTCCTGGTTCCTAGATGGACGTCTTCTCGCTGTGTCCTCACATGGAGTAAGGGGTTAGGGAGCTCTCTGGGGTCTCTAGTCTAGGGACACTAATCCCATCATGGGGGATCCACCCTCATGACCTCATCACCTCCCAAAGACCCCACCTCCTAACACCATCGCCTTGGGGAGTTAGGGCTTCAACATCTGAATTTGGGGGGATACACACATGCAGTCCACAGCAAGAACTCTTGAGAGAATCAGAGCATTCAGCGAGGCCAGATGCTCAAAGATCATGAGGTAGAGAAACGCACTTGAGGGAATGATGGCCACATACAAGACCCCCCTGCTACCGCGCTCCAGACCCCGCTCCCCCTGAAGCCCGTCACCCACTTCTGCTTCCGCCCTGCACACGTGAACACAACCCATAAACCCACAAATCTAGGTGCCCCAGGGACCCTGTTTCTCCTTTGCAAATGCGCCTGATTAAAAATATGTGGAAAGACCGGTTGCCCCTGCAAGATGTCCCAAAATAGCACAGATCTGAGGCTGCTACCCATCCCCCTGCCCCGGGGCGAGGCTATTTTGAGAGTTTTGTTTTGTTTTGTTTTTCCTAGCCAGTGCATTTAATAAGGAGGCATTAGCACATCAACTCAACAAGGAGCAGTTTCATTGCAGGGGTGGATAGTGGAGGTTTGCTGTTATCTTAAGGGCTCTGCATAAGACCCTAAGAGTCTCAGTTTTCAAACATAGTTTTGGGGGCTTATTAAAGGGTCAACATCAAAGTATCTGTGAAGGAGGCAGAAGAATAGATGCTGATGATGAAGGTGGGGGAGGGGGAGAGGGAGGGAGGGGAAGGAAAGAGAGAGAAAGACATACATGTGTGTGTGTTTGTGTGTCTGTGTGTGTGTATCTCTAAGTTACTATCTGGGAGGACAGAAGATGAAAAATCTGAGAACTCAACAGATGTTAACAGAAAGTCATTTAAATATGAGTTATAGATCGATATATATATAGATATATATTTATAAAACTGAATCACTGTGATGTACACCTGAAACTAACACAACACTGTAAATCAACTATACTCCAATATAAAATAAAAAGTAAAAAATAAAGACTATCAATGGCATCAAAAAAAATAAATTTCACTAATATGGAAGCTAAGAAGACAACAGTATTTAGATTGTATTTTGTGCCATGGAGGGTGTTATAAGGCTGTTGACTTGCCCCCAGGTTTGGTCTAAAATATACTATTTCAATCCAGCTAGAGAAATCTTTCAGGATCACCAAAACCTAATCATGTATTTTAACGGCAATGATTTTCACCATAAACATTACTTTTTTTTTTTTTTAAAGGTTTTCTACTATTTTCTTTTCTTTTTTTTTTTTTCTTTTTGGCCATGATGCATTGCTTGAGGAATCTTAGTTCCCCAACCAGGGAGTGAACCCGGCCCCTCGGCGATGAAAACGCAGAGTCCTAACCACTGGACCACCAGGGAATTCCCACAAACCTTCCTTTTTAAAAAAAATTCTCTGTATATTTATTGTTGAGTAACTTATCTTTACAGAATACAGAACAATGAAAGCTGACCAAGTACAACAAACAAGCCTGACGATTATACAGAGAGCTTTAACGCCAACCATATAATGCAGCCAGCTGTCAACATTCCACAAACAAAGCACCCACACTTCCAAGAGTTCTCGAATATCTACCGCCTTTTGCTTACTGTAAATTCAGATGATTGAAGGTTACCATCACTAACCATGCTCTAGAAAAGGAGAACAACTACAGCAATGATTGCCCCTATTATAAATAGTTCCTGGATGGCAGACACACATCTCACTTTCACACGTTTCATGGGTGTAAAGATGCTGGGAGAAGGCAGGGCCATTTCCCTTCGTCACGACAAAAGGGAGGATGGTCCAGCCCCACCCATTCCTGGTTGGATGGAGTCGTAGCACGAGTTTTGAAGAGCAAGTTGTGAGTGGACTTCACGTGTTTCCCGTTTGAGCTAAGCAAGACCCTCCTGGACACTCGTTTTTCCTTCCTCTCATTCAGACTCACAGCTGCCTCGCCAGCCTGTGTGTTGGACGGTCGCGATGACATGGAGCAGAGCCCCCAGCTGACACCCCATCAGTGGACGTGCAGTGTGAACAGGAAATAAACCCCCATTTGGGACTTCCCTGGCGGTCCAGTGGTTAGGACTCCGTGCTTCCACTGCAGGGGGTATGGGTTCGATCCTGGGTCAGGGAACTAAGATCCCACATGCCACGCAGTGCGGCCGACAAAACATAATAATAATAATAAGCCGTTGCTTTAGACCAGGCCGACACTGGTGCTACTTCTTACTGCGGCAAGCGTCTTCCACCCTGACTGATACTGAGCACATGCATAGGAGCAGGGAGACCCCCTGGAGGGAGACTGCTACCTGAATGCATGCAGCGCAGAGACAAGAAACATCGTGACAAGTGTTCAGAGTGCGCGTAACATGTAGGCGAATGACTGGCTGACCAGCGGGTTTGGGGACGTCTGGCCGGAGCAGGTAGCAGCACAGATGTGGCATTCTCCACTGCGCCCCTGAGAGGGATTTCCCGAACCCCAACCCTTCATCCTTTGCCCGCACACAAGTTTCCCCACAAACTTCATCCATGGCCCACCTGGAACCCTCCTACGCTCTCAGAATGCGTATCACCAAAAAGTCTACAAACAACAAATGCTGGAGAGGGTGTGGAGAAAAGGGAACCTCCTGCACTGTTGGTGAGAATGTGAATTGGTATAGCCACTATGGAGAACAGTATGGAGGTTCCTTAAAAAACTACAAATAGAACTACCATACGACCCAGCAATCCCACTACTGGGCATATACCCTGAGAAAACCGTAATTCAAAAAGAGTCATGTACCACAATGTTCATTGCAGCTCTATTTACAATAGCCTGGACATGGAAGCAACCTACGTGTCCATCAACAGATGAATGGATAAAGAAGATGTGGCACATATATACAATGAATATTACTCGGCCATAAAAAAGAATGAAATAATGCCATTTGCAGCAACAAGGATGGACCTAGAGATGATCATACTAAGTGAAGTAAGTCAGACAAATATCATATGATATCACCACGTGGCACCTAAAAAAATGATACAAATGAAGTTATTTACGAAACAGAAACAGACTCACAGACATAGAAAACAAACTTAGGGCTACCAAAGGGGAAAGGGAGGGATAAATAGGAGATTGGGATTAACATATACACACGACTATATATAAAATACATAAACAAGGACCTACCGTATAGCACAGGGAACTCTACTCAATATTCTGTAATAACCTATATGGGAAAAGAATCTGAAAAAGAGTGTGTGTGTGTATGTATGTATGTATATATATATATATATATATATATGGCTGGATCACTTTGCAGTACACCTGAAACTAACACAAAATTGTAAGTCAACTCTACTTCAGTATAAAATAAAAATTAAAAAAAAACATGCCCCGTCTGTTTTCATCATTTCATCATTACACACCCCGGACTGGAGTGAACCTGTTCCCCACAAAGCCCATTTCTCTTCTCTCTGCTCCCCAAGAGCAACCAGCTATTGGTGTTGTGCCCACCTCTCTCTGCTGCCCCTCGTCCCAGAGCTTTCCCTGACCACAGTGCCCACCCAGTACCACCCCATCCTGCCACCAGCACAGGGAACTGGGCGAGCACCCATTCACCTCGTTTCCAGAGGCAAGCTCTGGAGGGAATGGTGTTAGAGCATCACATTTAATTTCTTGGTTTTCCAATTCAATCCATCAATTAAGAACCTGTGCATCATATATGGAATCTAAAAAATATGGTTCTGAAGAACCTAGGGGCAGGGCAGGAATAAAGACGCAGACGTAGAGAATGGACTTGAGGACACGGGGAGGGGTAGGGTAAGCTGGGACGAAGTGGGAGAGTGGCATGGACATACATACACTACCAAATGTAAAATAGGTAGCTAGTGGGAAGCAGCCTCATAGCACAGGGAGATCAGGTCGGTGCTCTGTGACCACCTAGAGGGGTGGGATAGGGAGGGTGGGAGGGAGATGCAAGAGGGAAGAGATATGGGGATATATGTATATGTATAGCTGATTCACTTTGTTATACAGTAGAAACTAACACACCATTGTAAAGCAATCATACTCCAATAAAGATATTTTTTAAAAAAGAAAAGAACCTGTGCATATCCCAGCTCAGCTGCCTACCAGCTGTGCGACCTGGGGTTGGGTACCGTCACCTCTCTTGCTTCGGTCCCTTCATCTCCAAGTGGGAATCACCACGGTGGCTTCCACAAGGCAAGGAAGAAAGGAGTAACAAAAGTGTTCGTAGCTAGGATGTGCCTTAGATTCACACCTGGAACTCATAACAGCTTAAGAAAGGTGGGTACCACTTTTAATGCCATCCCCAGCTGTTCCTTTTTGACTTTCCCCCCTCTTTCCATCCTCTTTATCACAGCATTTTTGTTTTGTTTTGTTTTGTTTTTTGTGGTACGTGGGCCTCTCACTGTTGCGGCCTCTCCCGCTGTGGAGCACAGGCTCCGAACGCGCAGGCTCAGCGGCCATGGCTCACGGGCGCAGCCGCTCCGCGGCATGTGGGATCTTCCCGGACCGGGGCACGAACCCGTGTCCCCTGCATCGGCAGGCGGACTCTCAACCACTGTGCCACCAGGGAAGCCCTATCACAGCATTTTTGAGAGAACAGTACGGAGGTTCCTCAAAAATCTAAAAATAGAGCTACCATATGATCCAGCAATCGCACTCCTGGGCATATACCCAGAGAAAACTCTAATTCAAAAAGATCCATGCCCCCCAATATTCACAGCAGCAGTATTTACAGTAGCCAAGACATGGAAGCCACCTAAATGTCCATTGATGGAG